TTGAAAAAACGTTATACATAAATATCACTGAGGAGGTTAATCTTCAAGAGGGTACGCGGTCTATCTTGGAAGTTTATTGTTCTTAAATTTTACATGTGTTTGACTATCAGGAATTTTTCAAATCATTGTTTGTCCATTAGAATAGCTGGGTGAAGTATGTTTTCAGTAAATTTATTTGTGTAAGACTGCAGCTGTAGTGCTGTCCCTTAATTCCTGAAACCTCTTCTGACCTGCAGTATAGATCAACAAGGTAGAAACAATCATGGTGGTTGGCGCATGCCAATAAATCTACAATTTGTTGATCTTCGATTTTCACTGGCGACGGTCCACTCTTATCTTCTTATAAACTCCACCCAGTTTTGGATTTAACCTTGTTCGTCATAAAATAAACCAAGTTTCAACTTAAAACCTTTCTACAAATCAAACATTATCCAAACTAACATAACTCAAAGTCAAAGCCTGGTTAAGATCAAATTCAAATCGGCAAAGAGAATAATGTTTTGAGCCGTACAAAATCCATTCGTCTTACAATCTGCCATGTCTAAATATTATGGTCTCGCAAACGGGAATGATAATCCCAAAATTAGTTCAAGCAACATTTCTGCAATCGGTATTTTATTTGATGTATTCTTGTTTGGGCTGATTTGACTGTCAGAAATTGTTATACAACAAAATAGCAACACACATAACGCCGGCACGGACAGTGTCGGGATTATGTGCACATATGGTACAGGGATTATATTTTAATTTATCCATTTTCATGCGGCGCGCGGGATAAGTGGAAACAATACAAAGTGGGTAGCACGAAATGTTATTTTAATCTAAGTCTAACCTTAACTTTGAGGGTGAGGCGCTTTTTGGGAGGGTGAGGCGTTTTCTGGGAGGGTGAGTTGTTTTCTAGGAAACTGCTAGGAGTAACCAGTTTCAAAATTTACGTTTTAATCTCGATAATATTAAAACTGTGCAGGGAATATTTATTAGGAGGGGAAAACAGTTGTTATGGGTGGTTTTCACTGTGTCGAGGCAAACATTGTGAATTTCATTTAGATTCTTTATTCACCAATTGTAGTGTAATTGTATAAATGATATTCCCTGAGTCGACTTAGGGACCTTCATTTATATTCCTTATTTACCATTACTAAGTTTAACTCTTATCTTGGGTACGTTGGTGAACTCTGCTGTATTAGTATACGGTGTCAACAATTACATGACATGCCACACGGATTCATCCATAGTCGACAGGTCTACCTCAAGATAATCAATCTGCCATCTAGGCCCTATCTCCTGCTCGCCTATCAGTCTATTCCAATGGGGCGAACTATCAAGCTCTTTAAAAGTAACATTGACGGGACGCACCGTTGAGGAACGGCAGGACAAGTGAACTTAATCCACTCATCACTTCACACCCAGTTATTGTTATCACCTCAAAGATGTATAGCTTTTTGCTGACAATAGCACCCTACAAATTCATCCTGTGCCCCACTTAGGAAGACCTATAAGTCTCCCATGATATGACAGCTGGTAGCAGCTGTTATTTAGGTAAAGGATTATTTTCCCAAACCATACGGTATACTTTTGTTCACACCTGAAGCGGGTTTTCCACCTTATGTGACATTGACTGTGACAGCCCTGGTACAGGTGAAGCCTCTTCGATGCGGAGAGATGCAAGATATTAAGACTCTCAAATTATCACGTACCTTGTATACCCGCTTCAGTTACATTATCACAAAATCACTGTCACATGATCATTGATCACTCACGCAACTATTTAAAGCGACTGAACTTCCAGAGCAGGAGAGTTTACCGGCAGAGTTTTAGCAGCACAATCACGATGTGGATTGTCAGCTCTCATATAATTGACTGTCATAATCTTAGTCTAAGTTAGGAAAGAGATTGATATATATTATTCAATGTAGTTCACTCTCTCTGTAACTAAGAGTGTCTACCGTATTTATTTTACGGGTTACTTTAACCAACGATTTTAGTGTCATTACTTTGTAATGACTTGCAGCAGCCTTACACCACTTCAGAGCTGTATCCGGGAGACCAAACCCACCAGTATCAGAACTAGGTTTTCCAACTGAGTGGGAATATTCAGACGATTGTGACTTTGCTGACGAGGACATTGAGAAACTGAGAATTTTCCTTCCTACAGTGAAGGAGATTCTCAAAGACTGGAACCTCCAAGTAAATGAAAGTAAAACTGAATTCAGTACCCTCTATACCTGGCGAAAAAATCTGATAAAGACACAAACGGTCAGCCATTAGCTAATAACGAACCATGGCGAAGTAACAAGTCACTAGGTTCCTTACTCTGCACTGAGAAGGACATTCAAAGAAGGAGAATCCTAGCTGAGATTGCTTTTAAGAACTTTGGAAAAGTATGGTTGTCCGGTAAGAAAATTTCCCTTGAAAGAAAGCTGAGGTTATATGATGCTCAAGTTGTATCTGTATTGATTTACAACTCAAATAGTTGGAGTCCTAAGAAAGCAACCATGGAGAAAATGGACACACTCCATCGTAGACACCTCAGGTCCATTTTAAACATCAAATGGCCTAAAGGTATGATAAGTAACAAAGCATTGTATGAACGGTGCAAAGTTGAAAAGTTATCCAAGCGTATTGAACACCAGCGGTGGAAGATGTTTGGACACATTCTCAGGAGTATGGAGAACACCCCAGCCCAAACGGCTCTCTCTTTTGCGATTGAATCAGATAATTTATTAATTGGTAGACTGGGGAGACCTAGAATGAACTTGTTATCGGTTTTAAGAAGTGATTTAAGTAGTAGAAATTTGCAAATCGACAACTTGCATGAATTGAACGAAATTAGAGATATAGCTGCATCAGCATGCAACAGATGTTGGGAAAATCTTTTTCAAGGGTACAGTTAACCGCATTAAGGTATTTTTAAAAATCATTTTTGTCGGTAAGATCCTGTTTTATAATAATAATACTTTGTAACCCTTAGCATTAGGAATGGCCGTTCGGCTCATGGCTTAGAATCAAGTATTAGTAATTAAATAATTTCACAAATACTAACTAACCTCAAGGTTACAGTTCTAAGTAAATTTTAATCAATAAAATATATAGACATAAGCATTAACAATCGCACTACGTATGAGCATCCAGTATCAATTATCCTAGTACGGCTCCCTACCTAGCGTATTGATGAGGTTAGCACGAACCCTGAGTCATTTATACCAACAGCAGTCATTAACAACAGTGGGATGGATGAAATGATATCAATTTTAATTACCGCTGTCAAATACAAAATGATACGGAGAATGAAATTGGTCGCTCGCTTTTCCCATAAATTTATAATTGTAATTTGACCAAAACCCATAATCATGGGTAGGGTGGACCGCTGCCAGTGTCTCTCTTTCCCAAACAAAAGGAAAGGATATTAATTCGATTAACCGTTTTCAAATGCAAAATGATGCCGAGAATGAAATCGGTCGCTCGCTTAAGAAGTATGACAATGTCCTTGGCAACCGTAATATCTAGAGGCTGGTCGCTGGAACAAGTTTGTCATGTTGGCGGGAACTAGCTCATGAACTATGTTGTTGAGTGCCATAATTTCGTTGACATATTCCGCCAAGTGACCCTTGAAAACATCATATACTAGTAAAGTTTTCTGTGCCTCCGGCAGACCAAGTTCCAAGGAGAACCTTTCCTTCGTTAACTTACGGCACAATAAAGTTCTCATAGTTGTCATAATCATATTCTGGACAAAAAGTTCGAAGTGGAAAAATGTTTGAAAAAATTTCAACAGACTTTAACTTGGACGGGCGTTAAGTCAACGGACTTTATTTGAACGGACATTAAGATGAACGTTAGGGCCTCCAGCGTTCAATTAATGTCCGTCCAAATAAGGTCCGATAAGGTATACTAAAGTTTGACTTTTGAAGTTCTATAAGCCCTGAAGTCTGACTTCATTGTCCAGACAGCTAAATCAGTCCTGAAGACCTATGTCATATAGCTGTCGGACATTTTCAGCAAATCAAAGCTCGGAATTCCATCACGTGCAATATGCCTTACTTTATTTGGGCATCACGTGAAATATGCATTACTTTATTTGGGCATCACGTGCAATATGCATTACTTTATTTGGGCATCAAGTGCAATATGCATTACTTTATTTGGGCATCAAGTGCAATATGCATTACTTTATTTGGGCATCACGTGCAATATGCATTACTTAATTTGGGCATCACGTGCAATATGCATTACTTTATTTGGGCATCGATTGCAATATGCATTACTTTATTTGGGCATCACGTGCAATATGCATTACTTTATTTGGGCATCACGTGCAATATGCATTACTTTATTTGGGCATCACTTGCAATATGCATTACTTTATTTGGGCATCACGTGCAATGTGTATAATGCACGTAGCCAACTGCATGCTCCACTATAAGGACAAAGGAACTCTGCAAGTCTGAAGATAATGGCAGAGTTCTTCAACCCAATAATTGAAAATTATACATTCTCCCTGTGACCTGTGTCAATACCTAAAATACCGCCTCACTCCCGAAGCCAGCTTCTTGGCTTCTCGTAACAGTGAACGGACACAAAGCTTTTGAAGGAGATCTCTAAATTTCTAGTTAAAATCAATAAACCACGTTTCCCGAATTCCCGAAATAGACAGCTTTAAATTGGCCCGGTAAGATTACACCCATTGTAAGAATTTGTCGTTTATTTGAGGGATATACTTTTTGGCTGGGTCAAATCCTTTTATGATGATCGACCTTAAGACCAGTAGGAAGAATAATTTAGGTCCTGAAAATTGGACCCCAGGTGGTCCGTGGTACTGGTGTCAAAATCACAAAAATAAATAAATATCGTTGTCTCTTGACACCACGTTACAGTTATACGGATTCCTTCCTGTGCTACTAAATATAAAGCATAAACTCAGGTGGATAATGGACATTAGAATGAACATTTTTGTGATTAAAGATAAAACAGCTTTTTTTCAAACTCGAATAAAACTCTAATTTTTAGCTAAACAATCTAATTCTTGAAAGACTGACAGATAATTTTAAGTTTAAATTGATATCTCGAAATTTAAACATCGCCATGCTGTATATGTTAATGCAGTGAGTATCGTGAAATCAAAAAATACTTTAAGCTTCTGCCAGAAGGTTTTATTGTATTACCTAGCTATAGTGCATAGTGCTGAAATTGATAAATAAAACCCGAAATTAGTATGAGTAAATTTTAAACAACTGCATGATCCAACAAAACGTTCAGCCTAGGTAAGTAAATGCCAACAAATAAATGATGAATGTTCTTTTTGAGCGATCTGGTCTTCAACGTTAATTCCTTTCCGTGTTCAGTATTGTTTGTACTGAAAATATTAAATTTATATCATTAAATTGAATAATAAGATTCAGATACAAAAAGATAAAAGATTTTGGATTGGTTTTGTTGCAACGAATTTGAGTGGATTAAATTTATTTTCTTTACTTATGTAGCATTTGTCCAAACAAACTTTTAAGATGTCAGGATCTTGATTTTATTTAGTTGATATAATATACGATTTTTCAGACACTAATATATTGTTTTCAGTGTCCAGTAGGGGTAAAAGTCTAATATTTTTTCGAAATAAGTCAAACGTTCGCCAAAAGGGTGTACCAATTAACGATGTTTGTCTCAAAACATCATCTTGCCTTAATGTTAATATATCTCTGTTAAATAGAATAAGGAAAACCCTGATAGGATGTTAGATATGAACGTTCGTCTCCTCAAGCTAGAGAAATAAATTACTTACATTATTGCCCTTTTTTGTGGGGTGCAGGTGCAGCTACTTTCGCTTTTCCTTTCACTGGTGTTGCTGGTTTGGCTGCTGCAGGTTTTTTGGCTGCTACAACTTTTTTGGCTGCTGCTACAACTTTTTTGGCTGCTACAACTTTTTTGGCAGGTGCAGGCGCAGGTGCAGCTTTCTTGTTTCTTTTTTCTAATTGGAGCCCTTTTTTGTGGGGTGCAGGTGCAGCTACTTTCGCTTTTCCTTTCACTGGTGTTGCTGGTTTGGCTGCTGCAGGTTTTTTGGCTGCTACAACTTTTTTGGCTGCTGCTACAACTTTTTTGGCTGCTACAACTTTTTTGGCAGGTGCAGGCGCAGGTGCAGCTTTCTTGTTTCTTTTTTCTAATTGGAGCCCTTTTTTGTGGGGTGCAGGTGCAGCTACTTTCGCTTTTCCTTTCACTGGTGTTGCTGGTTTGGCTGCTGCAGGTTTTTTGGCTGCTACAACTTTTTTGGCTGCTGCTACAACTTTTTTGGCTGCTACAACTTTTTTGGCAGGTGCAGGCGCAGGTGCAGCTTTCTTGCTTCTTTCTTCTAATTCAATTAGGTTTAAACCTTCATTCTCTTCGAAGTTGAGTGGGAGAGACTGGGCTGCTACCAGAAGACAGAAAAGTACAACGATGACACACTTCATATCGACCTTTCTCTTGTAACCCGTAACTTTCTGTTAGCGTCGCTATGTAAAATGACGTCGTTAAAATAATGGTTAAATAGCGGTTAAATAGTGGTTAAAATAATGTGGTTAGCGTTATTATAATATCGGTAACAACAAATAAAATGAATTAGAAATGTTAGAATAGGAGAAGTCAGATAATCACAACACTTGGATGACTAGTCCAGTCATCACTCTTTTAAACGCCAGCTCCGAATAATGTCACTGTATTTCACAAGCCACGTGCAGACAATATCATTAGTCATGCTTCTCACATACCGGACTAAGGAACTGGAAATGTCAGCTTCAGAAAATGCTGTGCAATAAAATATTCAACCTCACGTGACTTGCTTAAAAGAAGCAAACAGTGCCTTCAAACAGTCACGTGACTTGCATAGGAGGGAATGATTTAAATTTCTCTCGTTCTAATCAGGACTTAAGTTGATTCTAAGTCAATAAATGCACTCCAAGATACTCTCTTTCAACACTTCAAGCTTATTTAACATTTAATGGTAAATCAGGTTTAACAGCTCAAACTTATTTAATATTTAATGGTAAATTAGGGTCAACAGTAAGTTCAACACCTCAAGCTTATTTAACATTTAATGGTTAAACAGGTTCAACAGCTCAAACTTATTTAATATTTAATGGTAAATTAGGTTCAACAGTAAGTTCAACACCTCAAGTTTATTTAACATTTAATGGTTTCATCGGTTTGGCTAGACTAAGGTGGTACGGACATGTTGTCAGAATGCCAGAGACACGGTTTCCCAATTTTTTACTGGATTGGAAACCAAACTATGGAAAGAGACTGAGAGGACGACCCCACAAAGGCTCGATGGCCTGTGTATTCGAGGATGTGGCTGACTTTACAGGTGTCGATAACATCAGCAGAGACGCAGTAAAACAGTAAACTCTAAAACGAGTGGAATGGAGAAACATGTTACGCCGTAGAAGAGATGTGTGTGATGCAGGCCACTCCAACGACTAGGAGGAGACCTCTTCATGTAGCATGTATGTATGTATGGTAAATCAGGTCCAACAGCTCAAGCTTATTTAATATTTAATGGTTAATCAGGTTCAACAGTAAGTTTAATACTCAAGCTTTTTTAACATTTAATGGTAAATCAGGTTCAACAGCTCAAGCTTGGCTAACATTTAATGGTTAATCAGGTTCAACAGTAAGTTTAATACTCAAGCTTGTCTAACATTTAATGGTAAATCAGGTTCAACAGCTCAAGCTTATCTATAATTTAATGGTTAATCAGGCTCATCAGTAAGTTCAACAGCTCAAGCTTATTTAATATTTAGTGGTAAATCAGGTTCAACAGTAAGTTCAACATCTTAAGCATATTTAACATTTAATGGTAAATCAGGTTCAACAGCTCAAGCTTATATAATATTTGATCGGTGACCGACAACTAGGAACTTCTCATTCTAGGCTCCCACAGGTATCACATCACATGGCCCAATCAGTGACGTATCATTTGTGATGTTAGCTGTGTATTATGAAGTGTTTGAGCTCTCGGCATGTGTTCACATAACGAAGGTGAGCCGGGTCCGAAAGGGCTGGTTCTCGTATCCAAGGATGTGAGCCGAGCATGCAATGGGAGTGATACGAGACATACAATCACAAGTACGAGAGTTGATTAGCTGTTAATATACAACCGCACTTCTGGTACATATATATATATACTAAAACTTGAACATAAACAGTATCGGTTTCATTCATGCTGTTATTGACCAGAAATGTTTGCCGATGATTTATATTTTGACTGGAGATAAGAAAGGGGACACTTACCAGTATATTTTTAATGTGGTGAAGTTCTATTTCGACCAGCAATGTCCGGCAGACACTGGTACAATTATGATTATTAAGAAACAATTATAATTGATTTTGAGAAAGCTGTCATGAATGCGATTCAGAACAGTTTGCAAGGGTGGGAGATTAACAATTGGTACTTCCATCTCTGTCAAGCTGTTCAGAAGAACATTTTGAAGAAGCTTAAAGTTTTATACTATACTGATAAGAATATATACAGCACAGCTGTGAAATCAGTGGCACCCGAATGTATCTCCAGATGTTCCTAGTTGTCTGGGATATATTGTAATGATTGGTTCCTAGTTGTTGGAGCTGATTGGATTTCCCAAGCTTGCATGTTAATTAGTTAACTAGGTAAAATTGACAGGTTCCTAGTTGTCCGTCAGTAAATCAGGTTCAACAGTAAGTTCAACACCCCAAGCATACTTAACATTTAACGGTAAATCAGGTTCAACAGCTCATTTAACCTTTTAACATTAATTAATGGTAGATCAGGTCCAACAGCAACTTCAAAGTCTGAACGGTTACAGTGAGTGGAATGAGACAAGTTGAATACTCCTCCCCTCGCAGACTACCTGTAGGGCAGTAGACTAATGCTCTGTCTAAACGTACTTTTCTCAATGATGGAGAGGAGAGGAAATAAGAGGAGAGAGAGGGATGAGAAATGATTAATGTGGGGCTAATGATGATGTTATGTGGTTAAATAGAAACAGTAATCATGATGTGAGAAAGCTTGAGCGGCTGGATTTCAGACATGTGTAGTGTGGGAGGTCACTTGGTGCCGTGTGGACCAATCAGGGCGAGGGACAGGTTGAGGGAGCCAATCAGAGTGGAGGATGGAGTGTGAGAGTCATTGGTGGGTGGTGGGCCGCTTGGAGATGAGTCAGTGAGCAGGACAAGCTGACTATCACAGAGATGAGGGTTTGTGTACACGTGTACAAAGGAAGAGAGGGAGAGAGAGAAAGATGGAGACCTTGACTCGAATGAGTCGGGAGACCTGGACGATTTTTCCTGGTTCGTTTGAATTTCAAGATCAAATATACAGATCAAACAATGAAAAAGGTGCCTAACTGAAGATCGGCACTGGGAATCTTTAAATAATGCATAGTCACAGCTCTTTGACAAGTGTCAAACTGAAGTACAGTCGGAAGCGACGAGCTGAATATGATATAGCCGTGTTTTAAAAGCTCCTGCTAATAAAACCTTCGGTATCATTTAAGTATTTCAAGAACCCCCTCCAGGTCGAAAACGATCTAGTTTTTCTCCTTATATACTTATATAGCTCATGAGCAAGTTATGTAATACACGGTTTGGCAGTATCCAGATAGCCCGACCCCTGTTCGTGAATAGTTGATTGGTTACCAGATCATATGACCGCAAATGTTATGAAATTAAATGGTGTGTATGGTATCTTGGATGCAATTAGTTACGACTAGCATAATTTGCCATTAATTTTAGCGTAGTAAATTGCTGGATCAAGGAAAATAACAAAAAGGAAACAGAACGAAAATAAAGTACACATGGGATGAGGTGCGGTATCAATTAAACCGGTGTTTAGCGGCCCGCTAGTGCGTAGGTACTGCGTGTAACCATGGCAGTGGTTCGCACTCTGTTGATATGATCTCATTAATGAGACTTAATTGAGCCTTGAGGCCTTCCCTAGTTGAGTGTGTCCCACAATAAAGCTCTTTGCCCAGAAGTCCTACATTATATCTATTATAACGAATTTGGACATACGTGGCACGTACAGCTCAATATGAAGAAGAAAAAAATGGCAGGTTGCTCGATCTTTATCATTTCTGTTTTTAGACTGGAGCTGGTCAACTCTGTACTAAGTTGTGTAGTAGGTTGTTCTGAAGTAGGATCTTCTGGAGTATGTTCTTCTGGAGTAGGTTCTTCTGTCATTTCTGAAAATAAAATATAAAATCGATAAAAAAATATTTTCGAGTTTAAAGTCAATTTGAATTTGTCAGAACGACAAGTGAAGGAAACATTTAATATCTGTTTATAAGACTTATACATCTTAAATTTTCAAGTGTCAGTTCAATGTTATAGCTTATCAGATTTAGACACTCTCTACTCTTTGAGTCAAAATAATTCAGGATTGATTTACAACGTATGTTCCTCTTTCTGTTCAACATTTTCCCCCAAATACCATCAGAACAAATCTGAATCCAGTAATAGAGAATTTATAATTGTTCCATTTAATTGCAAATTCATTGATAATCTTAACCTAAAATCTATTTTCTCTGACACTTCAGTCATTGATTTGCTTCCCATTTTGATTCAGTCTTTTACACCATTACAGATTTATTATGAGTATAATGATCCTATAAGTCTTTCTATTTGTAACTATGCTTCATTCTTAAAGAAACTTTCTATTTCTGATATTAAATCTATTTTAGGTAGTCCATGCGATTGTCACTCCTCCCCTTTCAATTATCCTCCTCATGGACATGTAGTTACTGGTAATTTAGATATTGTTGATAATGTTGAACTTAGGGAAGTACTTTCCTACGGTTGTAAATACAGAATTCCCACATTTAAATCTCCAGATGAGATATATATGTCAGTTACCGAAGCTGTCGATAAATTTATAAAATCAAAAAGTAGAAAGTACTGTCAAAAAGAAGTAAAGTTCAGCGATTGGAAGGAAAAAGTGTTATCAATAGTTTCCAATCGTATTGAATATTACAAGAAAAACTTTCCTAAAACATTTGAAATAAAAGAAAACACACTGGAAAAAGATGATGTTAAAAGAAGTCTTAAATTGCTGAAAAGTAAATACATTATTTGTAGTATCGACAAAGCTTCTGGTAATTTTTCATTTATTTGTAAAAAGTTTTATGTAAAAACTCTTGTCAATGAAATGGGTTTTGATCCTAATACTCTAGAATGTATAGGTAATGATACATATAAACCCTGTAGCGAAGACGAGACTCATTATGTCAATAAATTATCTGAGAGTCTAAAGGAGAGATTTAATGTACAAGTTGAAGATAAAAACTTGCGACTAGCACGCATCTTCTGGAACCCTAAGCTTCATAAGAACCCTTACAAGGCGAGGTTCATTGCAGGTGCCCGTTTTTGCGTTACGAAACAACTTAACGTCCAAGTTAACTGTTGTCTGAAACATTTGAGGAAATACTTCAAGAAATACTGCGAGGCAATCTACAACAACAGCGGTATAAACATGTTTTGGAGCATAGATTCCTCAAGTGAATTCCTTGAAGCTATCAAAAATAGCGATGTTTATAATATACAAGTGTATGATTTTACTACTCTTTATACCAGATTAGACTTGATTGAAGTAGAGAATATGATTAATGAAGTTGTTGATTTAATATTTTCAGACCGTAATAGATATATTTGTATTTCTAAAAGAGACAGTAATACATGTTTCTTTTCCAATAAAACCTATGATTCTCATGCCTGCTTTAGTCAAGATGACCTAAAAGAGGCTGTTAAATTTATTATTTATAACACTTATGTCGTCTTCGGTGGGATTGTATTCATACAAACCAAGGGTATTCCTATGGGTGGAAATTCAAGTTCCCCTATAGCTGATCTCACTGTTGGCAAAAAGGAATTTAATTATATGAAACGTTTACTTCAGGAAAAGAAAATGGGATTAGCAAAGATATTATCCAATAATAAACGATATGTTGACGATTTATCTATTATTAACTACCTTTACTTTCATCAATTGATTAAAGATATTTATCCTAATTCATTGGAGATGGAGCGAGCTGGTTCCAATAATAAAATCATTAACTACCTTGATTTAAATATTAATATTTCCACAGAAGGACTAGAAATATCAGTGTATAACAAAACTGATGATTTTAATTTTCATGTTGTATCCCTTACATTTCCTCACAGTAACATCCCAACCGAGGTTGGCTACAACGTTTTTTCAAGTCAAGTTCTTAGATATGGTAATGTTTGCACTAGATTGGATATCTTTACCTCCCATCTTCACAAAATATTCAAAATTCTAATTGATAGAGGATATAGCCGTGATAGACTGATTAAAAGCATTAAACGTTGTCTGAGGAAATATGATAACGTTTTCAGGAAGTTCGGTATTCTAGATGACCATAACATTATTAAAGAACTCCCCTGATATCTTTTGATTTATTGAAACACGGGTACTAACTCTGCTAAACTGAACAAATTCTGAAACTTAGGTGAATAAGTGTACAACGTGCTAAACCGAAGTTCAGACTGACCAGTGAAAATGGGCGAGCGTACCAAGTGTCATTTTAATTAGAAGTTTTAGTCAGTGATTTATTATTGAAGCTTGTAATTACAATATCTAATGCTCCTATAAATACTTTAATTAATTGTTTGTTCCGTTATTCTTTTTCCTTCCTCTTTTCCTTGTCATCCCCTTTAGTTTTAAGATTCTTGCTATAAATGGCTACAGCTAACACTATTAATGCTAAGTACCAAACAACAAGTGGGAGGTGGATCGTTGGTAAGTTGGTATACCATTAAATCGATTTAACACCGCAATTCCAGTCGCAAGCCTGAGACCACTACTAGCATAGTCACAACATCTACAAAGCTGCCATATAGCCTGACTGACAATTTTCTCGACTGACTGACAATGTTTCTTCTTTTTCCCCATTTAGAATACAAAGATTAGTACATTTTAGCTTATGATTAATATTATATTTTTACCTATAGTTTACCTAGATTAGATGAGAAAAAATATTATGGTAAAATTCCAAGATTTATTATATCAACAATTTTGTTCAATTAAATCACTTTTTATAAAGGGTCTTTCACATATTACCCAATCACTGAGGGGAGGCACGGGGTTTTTTAATGATTACGCTAGTATCATTTTAAGATACTACTTATGAGTAAAATTGATAACAGATGGGGGGGTTAAACGTTGGCCATTAAACTATTAAAGTGAATAGCAGGGAATAACCCGTATAACCCTAAAATGGTGTCAAGACTCAAGAGACTAAAATGATCATAACCTATTTAATTTGCGTTTTTGACACCACTTGGGGGACCAAATTTTGGACTCTAAAACTCCTATTTCTTGGCCAATTTTTTATTTTTTCATGCTGATTTGAAGGCCATTAAAGCATTTGGCCCAGTCAAAAAAGTTTCGGTTGTATATCTTTTACGATTTTTGCGAAAAGGCGCGATAAAGTTGATGCCGTGGTGTCAGTAAAATGGTACGGATCCATATATTAACAAGTGAAAGGCTTAACTGAGGTCCACAAACTTTAGATTGTGCATTGGCGACTTATACAAGTATTACTGGCCAAACTATCATCTTTCCCTCACTTTTCTCCTAAAATATATTAATAATTTAATTACCAAAAATCATACGTTCATAAAGTTATACGTTCACAAAGCTACGATAAACAAAAATAATAATAATTGCAAAAGAACAACTTCAAACACGACAGCAGGGGATTCCAACAAAACACAGCACACAAAACTAGTGTAAACTAACAACCACAGTCACCTTCCCAGTTCCAGTACTACACCGCTACACGTCATGCATCACAATGTAGAACTAGGAGCTAGAAGTGAGGTGACGGGGTAATCGGTTCTCAAACAAGTAATCAAGTGTACTGATCATGTCAAACTTCTCCTGAAATCCATGTTTTTCAGCTATTCGTCGGAATTTGTTACTCAACAGC